AGCCAGGAATCGACCCTGGATTCTGCTTATCTGGCAGGCATCTTATCCTTTCGACTACAGAGGCATATGATAATATTTATCGCAAATAACGTATTTAGAATAACACGTCAACAATACAATGATACACATATATACATATATCACAATATATATGTATATTCTCTCGAATTCCCACGACCGGTACTCCAGAGAGATGATGGTCCTAATCTCTCGATAAAATGCAAATTTGGAAAATGTAAACTTGGCTACGTATCGCATAAACAAATGATTCATATTTATAAACATAACTAGGAGAGTATAATAATATAAACAATATTTTAAAGCTGAAAAGCTGAAAAATAGGGAGATTCGAAAAAACCTACAAATATATATTAAATATATATATATATATTTATTTGTTGTGTGTGTGTGTGTGTGTGTGTATGTATGTGTGTGTGTGTGTATACATATATAGAATTTATATATAGAATTTCAAACTCGAGTTCTTACATATAGAATAAATAATTCAATAATATCGATAATTCGACATGCGATGCATAAATAATAGCAGAAAATTATAATTTGTAAATAATTTGCGAAATAATATATATTTAAATAAATAGTATTTAAAAGTAAAACACGTTTAAATAATAAATGATAAGATATATGGATATTGAGAAAATTAAAATGATAGTTATATTGAACAAATTTTTTCTTGTACGTCAACATAATGAAATATATAAGTACTTGGCGTAATTATTAAAAAACGTTGTGTATTATACGTTGTAAATTAATTATGTAGTTCGAAACTGACTCGTTTAAACTGACAAATAGTCGTAACAAATAGACATTTATTTTGCAAAGCTGAAACTCACGAGAAAAAAATTATACTACACACTAATAATAGCTGTTATGTTTGGTACCACCAATTTTAAAAATCTGAGTCTTAATAATTGATTTGTGCTTATGTAAATTAATGATTATATTAATTATGCCATAATCGTCATATTTTAAAAACATAGATATTGTTATCTCGTCCGCGACGGTCACTGAGACGCTCTCACTTTACGCGCGATCCGCGAGGAAGCCGCGCTCAGTAATAAACAACGCCGTTTATTAAAATACGTAGGCTTTATTCAAACTAATCAACAATAACAATTTGACGGACATATTTCTGTACGCCACGAGTCATACTTCTTCGTAAACAACAACCGTTGTCCCGGAGAGCGTTTCGCTTCTTCTCCAAACGGCAGCTCGACTTCACTCGGCCGCAGAAGACTCGCGTAGGCGTAACAATATGATAAAAATGTAGAAGATAATTATATGGAAGATATATAGATATAGATATGGCAATAAAATATACAACTGTTTATAAGAAAAACAATTTATTCGATCAATATCTTCTTTAGCAATAATAAACATATTTTTGGTTTTATCGATTAACATGAATCGCTCGCTTGTGCTCGCAAAATCTTTTTCCTTTATCATTATTGTGGTCTCTCTCTCTCTCTCTCTCTCTCTAATTCACTCATTCTCAAAACACATACGCGCGCTTTGTTTCTTTTCATACTCGATGAACACATACATAAATATCTTGAGAGATATTTACTTATTGATTCATCGATCGCGATTTTTCTCTACACATAAGTTTATGTAATCTTAATATATATA